ATTACACAACTTTGGAACACAATATTTGTAGTTCTCCTTTCCTATTTGCCGTGAATGCGGTAGAATTATTCAAATGTCTTGGATAGACGTTGAGTTGTTTCTATTGCGCATATTCTTAGTTGATTCAGTAAACAACCTCTCTACGTCTACCTTGTTATCCCGACCGAAAGCTGCTACCTTGACGTGGTGGTCGGGCTTGAACACCGCAATGACCCAACAAGCTATACTGATTGAGACTTATGTCGCTTGAGGTCCTACCGTGCCAGGAAGGTTGTTTGGATAGTGGTTAGACAAAAAGCAGTTACCCAATCCAATGCTATGACTCAAACTAAATCACAAAATATCATGCCTGGATCGGTCAAGGCCCGGATTAACAACGACCGCGCTTCCTGCTGCCGTGTCACAAAGCAGAAGTGATAAATATGCTACTGAGACACACCAAATAAAAAAGAACAAACAAAAACAGGCCGCATGTAACTGGTTTCAAGCAGTTGTCCCCTGGGCTCTGTGGTCACGCAATCAACTTCCACGGTGTGGGCAGCCGGGAAGTAACAATCGCCCTCACAATACGAAATGCACGAGAAACCTCTCTGATCCTACCTTGTTATATTAGACTTTAAGAATATCGTCTTATCGCATCTCACTGTATGATTATGCATAACTGTTATAGCTAAGGGTTTTTTCCTAAATTTCTTATCTTGCTAGGTTCAAGTGATCTAGATTTCGCTTCGCTGATCTTACTGATCTTGGCCTACTAATTTGACCTATGTATATAACATCAAAGTCAGTGCAGATTTATTAAATGAAGTAAATTATTTCTACGAGTTGATCACGGAATGGTATCAGTTAAACAACCATTGAAAACCAGCACAGGAGTACTGGACAGCTGTTTTGTCAGCCTAGTTTGGGAATCATCGGCAGTACGCACCCACTGCCAGGGTTCGAACCCAGGACCTTCCGGTTACAAAGCAAGCTCGTATACCATTCAGCCACTGTGACCCGATTCAATGGCCCATGAATTCTAACTTCTACCAGTTCGTGATTTAGTGCGACCATCAGCCAATGTCATCGGTGGGGCATCCATCCGATGATTCACAAACTGGGATGAAACAGCTGTCCAGTACTCCTGTTCTGGTTTTCAATGGTTCTCTAACTGATATCAATCCGTGATCAACTCATAAAAAACAAAACTAATCCTCACAAGCCAACTATTGAAGAGGAAATTATTTTATTTAATGAGCGTCGGTGGCATAGCGGTTAGGACGCTCGCCGACCATGCACATGGTCCGGGGTTCGATCCGCGGCCGACGCATTCCTTTACCTCGCTAAGCCGGAATTAATGCTGGTGAAGAGGAAAGGTTGGGCATGAGGCTAGCAAACCCATCCTGTAAAATAAACACTGCTACAGAAAATTCAAGCCACTAGCTTGAAGCCCTATGTTCCACTGTGAAACGTGAAGGAAAAAACAGGATCTTTCAACTGAGTACGTGGGTTTGCTAGTTTTTTTTACAAGATGTATCATTCATTCAACAGGCGACCTGCTTAAAACTTGGGCTACCAAAAAACTTCCATCTTTCTATTCCAGATATTTTCTCTCGTTCAGTTTGTTTTAATCGATTAAGATACGATCTCTATGGGGTATTATCTATTCTTTTGTGTGCATTTAAACTGTTTACAAGCTCATGACTCGCAAGTTCCCACTAAACTTGAGGAATGGCCCAACACATGAGATAACTGTTCTTCAGTTATGTCCTTGGATCTCAAAATGTACTTCTGAACATCATACAATTGGCTTTCAACTAGACATCGTGGATTTCTTGAAGGAATGAGACAAGGCATGCACATTATAATGGGATGGTTCGTGCTTCAGCTAAGACACCATTGTGTCACAGGATATACTGTCAATTAATATTTTACTTGAAGATATTGTACGAAGGGTAAATATCACGCAATAAACTCCTCCGCGAATTCTGTACATTTTATAAATACTGGCCAGAATAAAGATGTTATTGTTATCATGATTATTATTGTTCAAAGTGTCAGAATGATATTACCTTTAATCCAGTATACGGGACATTAGGTTAGAAAAAAGAAAAGCAGAATTTTGAAGGACAGTGTTACTTTTTTTTAAATTTGATGCTATGGAGTAATTCGGATATAAATTTCTTTCTGTACCAGTGAAACAGCTCTTACTTTTGGTGTATTAGACAAACTCTTGGACTTGAAAAGTAATAGAGGTTAAATTCAGTTCACTGTGACAACATATAACTAAATTTAGTAAGATTGTGAGGGTTATTGCTACCACGTAACAATGAAAGTTATAAAATACTGTAGAGTAATTGAGAAACATTTGTCCTTTCAGACTATGTGGATTTTTTTATAGAGATTTTAATTAATTTCATTATGACTTTCGTTATGAACCAGAATCAATTAGAGAATCACTGAAAACCAGACAGCATCGGACAGTTGTTTCGTCCTGGTTTGGTATTCTCCAGTGGAGCGCATTTGTGATCCCACCTAAGGTCTTAACTAGAACCTTCAGGTTAAGAAGCCTGTCTGTTGACTACTCACCAAATGAATAAGATTTTAATGTCACCCGAATTCCGACTTCAGGTTGGATCACGAGCTGACATCAGTTTGAGAACCATTGGAAACCAGGGAGTACTGGATAGCTATTTGAGACTTTTAATTAGTATGCACCCACCGGGGTTAATAAATATAATATAAATCCTTAATTATCCATCAGAATAATCAAACCGAATTAAAAGCGTGACTATTATTCAATCAGTGACTAACCATCATACCCCTTGATTGTAGCATATACTGAAAGGAATGTGAGATAAACAGTTAACTGGACAGAAATTAATACAACTGCCTCGATTTAGTTAGGCCTTTAAACTTTATTTTAGTTATTGTTTCCAATACACCTCCTAATCGGCTATTCGGTCAGTTTAAAATAATGCGATATTGAAAGTGTATTCAGTATACACTGACTGGCAGTTTACATAGTTTGGTGACTTTCAAAATCATGCTGGCAATTGCACATGACATGATTATAAGGTCCACTTTTCTTTTTCTTTCATTCCTGGTGTTCCGAGTGGAATATATGACTTCAAGTTTTCGAAGTTTCAGCAATAATGGTGTGGCATTTTAAGCGGCGAGGTTGCCAGCCTGATGCTCAGGTTCCCTGTCAGAGTCGTCCAGGAATAGAACGTGGACCTTTCTAATGGCTAGCGAAAATTTCCCCCTTGAACTGTAGATGCGAGGTCTGCTCAGTATTTTAGTATAGTGAAGTGGATAATTTCATCAAATGTATTTTAAATGACATGACCAACTGTTGTTATTCGACAGGGTAAGAAATACTTACTTAAATCCCCATAGGAAATATCACAGCCGACTGCAATAACCTTCAGGGAAAATTTCCAATCTAAACTTTACTGTACTATCTGCTGTTTGTGAATCAGAAGAAAGGAACTAGTGAATGGCGTGAATGCATATAAATGTCACCATTGGATGATCAAAAGTAATTAGCAGGAAACTGGGAGCCCAGGTTTCGTACTTATTGGTCCTCATCAGTAAGGCGTTTCTATAACACAGAAGGAACTGATGTCACCTCCGAGATTTAAATCCACATTGCCCAGTACTGCAGTCAGAGACACTTCCACTAAACTATTCAGATCAGCAATGAGGATTCTGTTACTGTCCTACAAGTCGATATAGAAAGTAAAAATATTCTGCCAAACACAACTCGGATTGTAGGAAGCCTCAAAAATTAGAATTTATTGGTAAAATGTTCCATCTCTTCTAAGACTGTTTCTGATTTCTCCAAAATTCATATATTTAGGAATCAAATGGTATTTTCAGTCTTCAAATGACGTATAATATAAGTGAACGGTAATGAAAAACAAATCACAGTAGGAAAAGAGCCAATCTACATTCAGCTTGATTATAAACGTGAAAACATTGCAGCGATGATCAACAGAAGGCTGAGCACATCACTAACCATAGCTTATCCTGCAGCTAAGCTCGTTCCCGTCTATCAAACAACTTGCTCTTTGATGCAATCAAAAATCGACAGATATCCTTCTCGTGTTAACTCCAACTGTATATACAAATTTACATGTATCTGCCGGAGCGGTTACATTGGAAGAACAGAAAGAAGGGCACAACTCCGATTTCCTGAACATGTACCAAAAGCCTACTTCTAAAGGGAACAAATGCTTCAAACAGTGCCATCGCCAGGCATCTCCTCGACACGCGTCATGAGGTGGACGTCGAAAAGTCGTTCAAAATTATCAGTAAGCAAAAGAGCTCAATTCTCTTAAAGTTTGCTGAAGCCATTTCCATCAAGCGCCTGAAAACTGATTTGTGCGTTCAGAAAGAAGCGGTTATCAGTCTTTTTTGCCCTGGTAACTGGATATTTTTCATCCAAATGCGAGATGCTGAAAAGTTTTCATCGTGTATGATTATTATTGTTCGGAATAGTGTTTAATATTGCATATATATATATGTATATATTACTGGTGTATGCGTACATTGATCGATTGGTTTTTGTTTAAAATGAACTCTGTGCAAGTGTGTTAAAATTGTTTTTGTAGATATATTTAATAATGATTTTGGCCTATGAGCAGCTGATGAGAAGGCAACGAAATAAGCAATGATGGTACCACTTTATTCTGCTAAAACTGTAGTTCTAGCTTTGTTCAGAAACGGTAACTGTTCAGAGCCAATGGGTGGTAATCATTAAAAATTAGCTCATTGTCTGTTATACGAGTTTTAACAAGAAATTCTACGACTTCTTCTGCACATTGTGTCATTCATTTCTAATATTGACGATTAAACAGTTCACAAAATGAAACTCTGCATCAGCATAATCGAAAACAACAACAATAATATTAAAAAATGATTAAATCACTTGAAGAAAAGCGGTAGGCAATTAGCCCTTTTGCGAAATGATTAATTCAATAATAATAATAATAACAATAATAATAATAACTCACCAATATCTAATCCATTAGTTATAATCCAAGCACCAGTTGTTTTAGCTGCTCTAAGTATACCTCTTTGGACAACTTGTTGTAATTTTGCTTGTAATGGCGCATTAGCCAATCCACCGACAATAGATATGACTAAATTAGGCACACGTATTCTCCATTCATGTAGTAATAAATGCAATATCAATTCAGGACATGTTTCATAATGCAATCGAACATACTGTATAGAATATTTATTACCCCGCCCCGAAGAGATAGACGATTTTCGGCATGTGATAAAGAAAAGATGAATAAAAAGATGTAATAAATATCAGTTTAATGTAAGAGTAGCATTTGGGTACTATGATAGAATATGAATTCGTTATTTGATGTGATAGAAAGCGTGTATTATACAGTGTTGATAACCGAACGATGTTCCGATAACAGTTTATTGCTCGTAATCATATCTCTATCAAAATAGGATACCCTATTAGGACAAGACTATATAAACCAAGTTAGGGGGTTGTGTGAATATAAGGATAAAACTGAGGCACTGCGGTAGAGTATAACTATGCCGTTATGGATAAAACTTTATTTTAATAAAGTCAGTAATATTTACTGATGACCACGTTCCAAGCACAACTTATTGCTACTCATATTCATATCAAGACACTACTCACACAACTTTCTAACCTCGTTTATATGGTTTCACTTTTGCTCATCTCTTGATTTGATTCGTAATAATATCTTTCATATCTTTGGTATTTGCGTTGAGTCACACTTCTATTGCATGTGTCGGGTGTACACTCGATCAACCAGAATTCAGTAATCAATCTCTCTCTCCACCTACCTGCATTACTTTTTAGAATTTCGACTCTGTCCCATCCGCCCTATTATGTGGTTGTGTATTAATGCACGCAGTGCTATTGCTGAGTTTTTTTCTCATTACTGATCTTCATGGGGTCAACCACTCTTAACTTAGCTAAATTCTTATGTTCTGATAATCTAGCTACTCCTGAACTACTAGTTGACCTAACTCCCAGTCATTGCAAGGTATTCTGTAAATTATATTGTTTTGTTTAATCGGGTCCACCAACAGGGTCCTTTAGCCTACACAGCTTTCCCTACCTGAGTAAGTGTGTAGGTTTAAATGCCACCCTGATGCCTGCTTTATTAAGAATCCTACTTAGGGTCTCAGATGTCCCCGCCTTATTTGGTATAACTGTAGATGCCTAATATTCTCTCTTACTTATGTTATCATTATCATTGTTTTTATCCTGCTTTTTTCCTTTTTTAATCTTCCTAATGAATTTTATAGGATAGTTATTTAACACTAACGCTTCTTCTGTCTGTCTTATTACATCATTCAGTGTGTGAATAAACTGATATGATTATGAACAGCAATAAATTGTGCTTGAAACATCATCCGGTCATGAATGCTGTTTCAAACTGAATGTCATATAACGTAAATTTATTTAATATGGAATAAATGTCAGTCATATGACACGTTTTCTGCCATTCGTTTGCTTTCTGAGTGGGGTGTAGCACTCCAAGTTTTTGAAGTGGAGGTGTCGATAGCCTCACGCCCAACCTTTTCTCTTTTCCAGGGTTAATATCAACTAGTAAAGTAGGCGAGGTTAAGGAGTTCTGCAGCCAAGAATCGAACCCAGATTATAGTGAACTAGACAAATTCACTAATTTCATGAAATCACTGAAATTGCTAGAGATCCAATAGTAGAAAATTGGACACTTATGTCCAGAAATGGAAGAAAATCATATATAATATCTAGGACCTATATATATATATATATATATATATATATATATATATACGGGAACACACAGATTTGAGACAATGTAGTCAAGAGAAGTTTAGAGGCATCTAAAATACAACCCCATATATACGATGTCTTTAATTATTGTAGAATCGTGAGCTTTATTGCCCTGATGATCTTACTGAACAGTTCCGTGTTTTACAAAGATAGGGACTTTAAGGCAGCTAGCCCATATCCGAGGTCAATTTTAAATGTAGTGAAACTATGTGTATATGAAGTGCTTTATCGAATAAGAATCATCCTTGTAGTCTTTTGTAATTATTTTTCCACTCAACAGTAAGATATAGAGTACTTTGAAGTCAGGCTGTTGTTCATGGGCATTTTATGTAACGTAATGTATCCAAAAGCGTTGTAATGAGACCCATCACTTTATGGAGTCATTTGATTTATTGTAGATAACTGTACTGAGGACCTCATGCGTACTACTTATATGAGGATATAAGTAGTATACTCAGTAGCGTCTTTGAAGAGGTAATAGTAATTTGTGTCATTGGAAGTGCTACTGAGAAAGGCTATAATTTTGAGAAGGATCTATTAGGCAGCATGAAACGACGATGTCTATAAACATTGTTGCCTTCATGGAAAACAAATTAGTTCTGAAATTTGATACTCAGTTTCTTCGACTAGTTTGAATGGACTAGGATAAAGAACAGCAGTTAATTAACAACTAATCGAGTTTATCAGTAGTGATCATCATACTACTACATGTACTTTGATGTTATTTGGTTTCTAGTGACCAACAGCGGAAGTGAAGACGCTCATTTCATCACATTTGGGACTAATCAGCTAAATCCAGATTCATCCTAATGAATAGGGATATGGTAGGAGTCTAGCGGATAGCATTTTGGCGTTCAAAAAGACATTCGTTGGGTATGACTATCACAGGAAATATTATTATATACTGAGATGAAGGATCATCTAGCTGACAAATCCAACTAGGGTGAAATATGCCTCCTGGATACCACGGCTAGCTACCATCGACAAAATTATTTCAAGGAAACATGAAATAGCTTAGAAAAATATAACGAATTATTGCAATTGTATACTAATGGGCTAATTGACACAAGGTGTTAGAAATAAACAAAACATGCAAAATTGTAATGAGTTAAGCCAAATTAAATTCAAGCAGGGTTTCATAAATGGTAATGTAACTAATTAAGATACCAAAAAAATAATGATTGGATTCGGTTTGTCCCTCTCCATCTGTTGTTTTTTCTTCATTCCTTTGCCAACCCAGTAGAACATACGGCTTCAAGCTTAAGCTTTGAAGTCTCACTAGCTATACTGCTACTTTACAGAATGAAGTTGATAGCCTCATGCCCAACCTTCTGTCTTTACCATGAATACTACCGACTAAGTGGATCTTAGGATTAGGTCGGTCCGTCGGGGAATTAAACCCGGACGACGTGTGTCGATGGTGAGTATTTTACCAGTGAACCGACAATTTACTTTGTTGTTATAACTTTGGTAAAATTTAGGACATATTGGATAAAAAGTTATTTATAATAATTCAGTTAGATAATGTCCTAAACTAGAAGGCGGAATAATCAATTAGAAAAACTAAAATATCAAAAAGAGAATTAACATATTTCCAGTGCTTCGGTGACGCAGCGGTTGAATGCCTGCCGACCACGTATGTCGTCCTGGGTTCGATCCCCGGCTAATGCACTCCCAAACCTCGCTATGCTAATAATAAGACTGGTAAAGAGGTAAAGTTGAGTATGAGGCTAACAACCCCATCCCGTGAAAATAAACACCACTGCTACTGTAGGATCCACTGGGAACGTACAGGAATAAAAATATATCTATTTTAAAGTGTTATTTTTTAGGGATTTGATTTGTTTCAAGTCTGACCACGAATTTTTATTAGTTAAAAAACCACTGAGAACCAGGGAGTACTGAACAGCTGTCCTGGGTTCGAATTTCAGTGGAACGGTACTGCCGATGAGTTCCAAACTAGGACAAAACAGTTGTCCAGTACTCCATGGTTGTTAGTATTTCTCTAACTGATATCAGTTTGTGGTCACACTTGTAACGAATGAATATATGTACTTTTTTTTAATTTGAAGTCATTTAGAGGTCACTCGTTTGGGGTTTCCCGTGATGCAGATTTATATTTCACCCTCAGTTACCGTTTATTACATTTGTCAATTCATGGCTTTTTATGACAGTCACATCAAATATATTTATCTGAAATCACTCAAACAGCTTGGTACACTGAATGACCAGAAAAAAAATTATCAAAAACGTCATACACAAATGATAAAAATGAAGGGATATACAGAAATTACATTATTATATGTGTAAAACTTGGGCACTGTGGTAGTAAGTAATTCCATATTAGTTTGTTTATTAGATGTATCACACAGTCACTGAAACAGTATTATTTACTGGATGACACAGTTTCAAACAAAATTTATTGTTCATAATCATATCAATTGCAATCACACGACTTTGACACTTGAGTTTTATAGTTTCCTTTGTTCTCTCCTATTTGTCGTATGGATAGTAGAATTTCCCAGATATCGGGGACAGTTGATGAATCATCCCTATTATATGTATTTGTAGTTGATTCGATAAACAAAGCTTCTGTTATCAATCTCTCCCTATATCCTGTGACATTAGATTTTAAAAGCGTCATCCTATCCCATCCTATTGTATGGTTGTATGTGACTGCATGTAGTGAGTGTTATAGCTGAACTATTCTCTAGATTTCTTATCTTATTCGGGTCAACCAATCTAGATTTTGATAGGTTTTTATGTTCAGCTAGTCTGACTGCCCCTGTTCTACCAGTCTGACCTATGTATTTGACCTGACAATCACTGCAGG